GGAATGCCATCGCTGCGCACCGTGGATGAGAGCTCGTAGCGGCTGCCGCCGTGGAAACACCAGACGTGGCCGATGCGCCACCAGGCCCCGAGGATAGCGCGGCCCTTCCCCCCAAGAGACGCCACCGGGCATAGTGCCACTGGCAGGCGACGGGGTTCAGCGTGTCGACGCATACGGAGAAGAGCGTCGTCTTTGCGCCACTGGCGATCGCCAACCATGTGGCCCCAACGCAGGGTGACTGGGTTGCGCAGCTACGATGCCCGGCGTGTGATGAGCCGCCAGCCGACTATACGCCACCCGAAGGCGAGGAAGAGGACGAAGGCGGCGGGTGGCATGCCGACGCTGACTTGGTGCTGGACGATCTCGGGGCGCTGGAGGAGCACCTGGCATGGCAGCACACGGCTTTGGGTCTGCCAAGCGTGCCGGTGCCGTCAGCGCCCGCAAGTTGTGTGTTAATGTGACACGTTTACACGGAAGGCCTAGGACTGGTAGTCCCCGAGGCCATGACGGGGCATGAGTTTGGGTATGCACGGCACATTGTGTCCTTGACGCTGGGAGCTATCCAAATGGCTTTCTTTCTCACCTTCACGGCGTTTACAGGATGGAACCTCTTGGTTGGCAAGGGGGGGGTTGGTTTAGGCAATGGTTTATGCAGTTCAAATGTTGCGTGGCCCCGACAGGGGCACGTCTTCTTTTTTTCGGTGTCCGGCCGATATGTCGTCTGCACAGCTCTCTTCTCATGGCGACCCTTTGCCCCACAAACGTGATATGCACCCGCTCCAAGACTGGTTCCCTCCGCGTTTCAAAAACCAAAGTACTAAAATCGATGAGGGTGCGAAAAATCAGAAGAAGCGCCACCAGAGGAAGAAGATGATGAACAGGCCGAGGCCGCCAATGGGCCCGTACTGCTTCAGCAGCAGCTCCCAGTTGATGCGCACGGCGGCGCGCTTGTACTTTTTGCTGTCGTCCCGCAGGCGCGACGACAGCTCGCCCATGCGCTCGAGCGAGTCGCCGCGGTACAGTAGGTCCTCAATGTTCTTGGTCATGACCTTTGTGACGTCGCGCAGCTCGTCGTTGAGCTTGTCGAGGTTGTTGGCGGCGCGGGCGTCCGAGTAGGTGGCCTTTGTGCGGGTGATGAACGTGTCAAACTCCATAAAGGCGTAGGGCCGCAGCGTCGGCGACTGCAGCTGCGCCGGCGGGTACGTCTTTTGAAACTCGGTCGCCAGGTCGGAGAGGTAGGTGAAGGTCAGGTTGCGCGGGTACTGCCTGTCTGTGATTGTGAGGAAGATGATGTCGTTTTCGATGAGGTAGCTGCGGGCGCATGGGATTAGTGGTTGACTACAACAAACCGGGGGGCTGCTGAGGAGGGGGAGGCCGCACTTGAGGGTTGCCTGGCCGAGCTCGAGGCTGGCGCGGGGTTCGGATTTGCGGGTGACCTTGCGGAGGACGGCGCGGATCTGGTTCTTGATCTCGACGACGTCGCCTTCTTGGTGTTCGTCATCGACCGAGGCGCACAGCATGAGGCCTGCGGAGCAATGTTAGATCAGTCTGGCTGGAGTGGCGTTGTCGAGCGTACCGTCGAGCCTCGCTATTTGTGTTGACCGAATAGACTTCATTTTGGCTGTGCTGGTGGTTGTGGTGCGTGGGAATGGGGTGTAGCTGCGGGCGGCGACGCCAGATGTATTCGAGGCTGCACGGCGACAGATCGACGTGTCCTCTTGGGAAGGCTGGTGAGGAAGAGCTCGTGATCGGTGGTGTGGCGAGCAAGACGGACGTTTTAAATGTACCAATGCAGGCAGATGCACCAGAACAGGACAGAAGGGGATATATGTCAAAGGGGTATCAATGCTGGACGTAGAGGCCTTCTACCAGGGTCCAGGCCAGGTCTTTGATCACCGAAAGGAGGTTCGACGATGATGGCACGCGCTCAGCGAGCAGCCAATCAGCCGTCGACAGGGGTCAAGCTTCTAGGCCTCGGTTCGTGGCTGGTAATGCGATGGAGATGTGGCTCTGTGGCTAAGCATCATGACACTGAACAACGAACGACACGGACGGTTTGCCTTGACATGCCGAAAGCAGCATCGCAGAGCTGCCATTATGAAGCCCCGCCGTTCAAGCGGAGGTTCCCAAAAGAAACAGCTCCTTTCGTTGTATACTGCTTATAGATGACAGGTGATTCGGTGCCTCGCAGAGTATTCGCCAAGTCATAGCTCTCCTTTTGTCATGTGCCTTCTACAAGTTACAACCCAGAGCCTCATGAGACAATAGCCACTGGTTCCTATATTCATCCGACCAATCTGACGCATGGACGCTTTAGAGTCTGCAAAACCTGTTATTCCATGCGTATCGAAGCATCGGCCTTCAATCAATGAAACAATAGAGCATAATCACCCCCAACAATGGCAAACAGCAAGGATGCCGTCATGGCTGATGCTCCACCAGCCAACTCGCCGTCTTCTGGCTCGTCTCTTCCACCATCCGAAATGCAAGGTCTGCCACATGAGTCTTTGCCAGGTATATTATCAGACCACAGTCCAGAGCCCTCACTAAGGATATCTTCACCTGAAACGAAACAATCCAACTCCGCCTGCGAGCTCTCACCAACCTGGGACACCTCCCCACTCGACCAGTCATTAAGAAACAGAAATCTTCCAACAAAGGAAGAAACGGCACCTGTTGAAACTCAGCTCGAAGAGCATTTTGCTGCCGCCCACGAGCACAAGTCCCCTACACACATTCCAACTTTCTCGCCCGAACAAACAGGCGAAATGGCCCCCCTCCGCAGATCTGGCCGCCAGCCGAGAGCTACGCAGAAAGCACCATCACCCACGACAGCCACCAAGGTCATCATCAAGAAGCCAAAAATCACACGGCGCAAGAACTGGTCCGCCGACGACCTTCTCACGAATGCAAAATCGCCATTGGTGAACGGAGACATCAGGGTACGTAAGCTTCTTGAGCGCAGAGTCGCCTTCCCCAGGCCAAGAATCAGACAATTGATCCACGCAGGCTATGCTCAGCGCCCCCGCCGCCTGGGAGATCCTCACGGCAGACGAGCGCGCCGAGATCATCATGCTGCTGCCGGCGGGAACACCCATGCTAGACGCCGGCACGCCCGAGGCTCGTCCGGACATGGCAAGCCTCGCCTCCGACGACTCGTTCCGCCATGACTGCGCCATGTATGCCGAGAACTTGGGCGACGGCAAGCACGATCCCCAGTGGCTTGAGGAGGCGTGGTCTGCACACGACGAGCGCGCTGCGGGGGAGTACGAGGAGTATCTCGAGCATCACTTTGAGGAGGAGTGGGGCGTGAAGCTGCCTGATGAGATGAAGAAAAGTCTCAGTGTTCGACGGGAGGATGGAAGTACGAGCCGTGAGCTGAGTGCAACGGCGAACGGAAAGAGCGAAGTGAACGGCACTATCGAGACGACGGGGGATACGAGCAATGGCGTTGAAGAGGAGTTTGTTGCGGAGGATGGGCCTCCTGAAGAGCCAAAGTCACCTGTAATGGAAACATCTGTTGAGAAGGAGATGATTGAGATGCAGAGACCTGTCAAGGGCGAGGCCATGACGGGCAAGGAAGCCACCGAGGACGAGCAAGCCGCCAAGGACAAGGAATCTACACTGGAGCATGACACTGTTGAGATCAAGGGGTCGGTTCCCTACGTGGCTGAGGCTTGACAGAGGAAATCATCTGGCTTCTATTCATGCTGGCCTAGGTCCATATTCACCAAGTGCGTTGAAAAATAAGACGGCCGGTGTGAAGCATTCAACCACAAATTTTCTGCTGGACTCAACAGTAGCTCGAGTCTAGCAAGCAGTCGCCTTGCCAGCACCTGAAGGAGCATCGTCACCAGCTGCGTCTACCCTCAACTCGTCCCACATCCATGTCGCGTACTACGTCTTGAGAGGAATCTCTTGCTCGACACGCTGCTCGCGCCGAATATAGCTATCGAATAGAACACATCTTGCTGCCGGTCTCGGATCTAGGTTTCTCGGCCCGGTACGCCATCCGCTCCTCTAGCCGGCGCTTCAATGCCGAGATACTTGCCATAGCTCCATGCTCCTACGTAGCATTCTCGACAGCACACCGGCAACCCCCGCTCTGAAGGTTGGCCCCGGCGGCGGGGTCGTGGGGTGAGCCACTGTGCCGCCGTTGAGCCAGGCCATTTCAAAAGCCGTCGGGAATATCATGCCGGGAAGCGGACACGATGCCAATGAGCCCAGATCATGCCACCCACCCTGATGCACTGCATCCTCCATGCCGAGCCAACATCTCCTAGCTCCAACCGAGCTCACAAGTAGCGTGATTGGCGGTTTCAACCCCAGGCTAGATGCTAATGCTTGTCACCCAGGCGAATCTGGACACCACGCGAGGAGGGAACAATCCGAGCCGTGAACCCAATGAACTGGAAACGACACGCATCCATCACACCACATGCCCCAACCCAAGACTGCCTCAGAGTGCGGGGGGAGCAGAGGATCATGGTCTGCCGAGTCGCCTTGAGTATCCCGACAGTTTTCCCTCGGTTGCGACCGACTTTTCCCCTTAGATGCTCGACACGATTTCTTGCCTCTTTGAGCCGCCCCTATCGGGTGCGCTTCATCCGCCGTCTCAGAACCCGGTCTTAACCCCTCTCGGCATCACGAGCTTCACCCGCGGCCAGCCTCGTGCGGGATTCTGTAGATCAATGAGGTGATGCTGCGCGACTGTCCTTGGCAGCGCGTGCCTTGGCCTCCCTTGTGGTCTCAAACAGACGCTACGAGGGCTTCCCCGTGGGGAAATGCGGGCGTCCAGCGCGGTCGAGCAGCATGGCGGGCAACGCTGGTTTGTTTGTCAAGCAATGTCAATAGATCGACAATGGAGAGACCTTTTGTTGAGACAACGCGCACACCACTTTGGAAACTATATAAACGCTACCGAAGTATGTCACGATCATCCCCGAGGCATTCTCAATTCCATCATTCGCTACACGAGCAATTTGCGGCTCAGAACAACTGTCGGTCTAGTAAGGAACGCCGCCGTGGCCCAGTATGGCTTCTCAACACCCCCTCGAGATCCTGCCTAGCAAGGAACAGGCCGGAGCAGAGCATGTATCCGAAGCAGACCACACGCAGAGCGATATCAAGGAGGTCAAGGTCCAGTCCGTCGAGCTCGCCGATGCCATCGCCAAGGACCAGCCCGACTTTAGGTCCCGCTCCATGATCACTCTCTATGCCCTCATGCTCTTCGCTACGCTGAGTACGTGCCTCCTGCTTGCTGTGGAGTTGCTAGAACAGTGTGAAGGATAACACCAGCTGACCACGGACAGACGGCTGCATGAACGGCTACGACGTCTCTGTCATGAGCTCGATCAACGCCATGACGCAGTGGCACGACTATTTTGGCGTCGGGCACACTGGGTCTCAGCTCGGTCTCGTCATGGCCATCTACACGGGCGGCACCACGACCGGCAGCGTCTTTAGCGGGTTCATCGTCGACACGTTTGGGCGGCGCATGGGCATGGCCACGGGGGCCATCTTCATCATCATCGGCTCCATCGTGCAGGCGTCGTCGACGACACTGGCGGCATTCATTGGTGGCCGCTTCATCGTCGGATTCGGCGTGCCACAGTGCACAACGGCGGCGCCCATGTACATTGTCGAGATGGCGTTCCCCACCTGGAGAGGCCTCGCCGGCGGTCTCTACAACGTGCTGGGCTGGTACATAGGATCTCTGAGTACGTTTGCGATTCTCGGCCTCCCTCTCCCCCCCCTCTCCCCCCCCCCCCCGGCGCCTACCCACCTCGCACAGAAGCTGACGGCACGGGGTGTTCAGCGGCCAGCTGGTCGTGCTATGGCCTCGCCAACATTCAGGGCAACATGTCGTGGCGCATCCCGTACATCATCCAGGCCATCCCGGCGACAATCGTGGTCGTCTTGGCGTTTTTCATCCCCGAGAGCCCCCGTTGCTCTTCGGCAAGGGGCGCAACGCGCAGGCGAAGAAGGTGCTCGTCAAGTACCACGGCAACGGCAACGACGACTCGGCCGTGGTGCGGCTCGAGTGTGAGGAGATCCAGTACTCGGTGGAGACGAACGCCGAGCTGCGCGACGGCAAGTGGTGGGACTACGGGGTGCTGTTCCGGACGGCGGCGTCGCGGTACCGCATGTGGCTCATCTTCCTCATCTCGACCTTTTCGCAGTTCACGGGCGGCGCCGTCATCTCGTACTACCTGCCGACGATCCTGCAGACGGTGGGTATCACGTCGCCGCGGCAGCAGCTTCTGATGAACGGCCTCAACACGGTCTTTTCGTTCTGCGGCGGCATCGTCGGCTCCTTCTTCGTCGACAGGGTCGGGCGGCGCCGCTGCTGCTGTGGGGGCGTGTTCCTGACGGGCCTCATCTACGTGCCCATCAACGTGCTCGCGGGCCTCGCCGACGGCAACATTGAGCGGGCGTCCGGGTACGCCTTCATCGGCATGATGTTCCTCTACGGCATCGTGTCGTCGTTTTGCTGGACGCCGCTGCAGGCGCTGTACCCGGCCGAGGTGCTGAGCACGGACATTCGGGGCAAGGGGCTGGCGGCCAACAACCTGATCGCCGGGCTGTTCGGCTTCATCAACCTCTATGCCATCCCGACGGGTCTCGAGAACATTGGCTGGCGGATGTACACGATCCTGCTGTCGCTGCACGTGGTGCACTGGGTGCTCATGTGGTTCGTGTCCGTGGAGACGATGGGCCGGTCTCTGGAGGAGCTCGAGGAGATTTTCAACGACCCAAAGCCGGTCCAGAGGAGCAAGCAGTTCAACAAGGTTGTCGTCGGCTCGGGCGTGGGCGTCAAGGTGACGGACGCCTGAGTCTTGTTGTGTTAAGAGATCATGGGTCAATGATAGCAGATGCCAGGATTGATGCCAATGATTGATGCCAGGATTGATGCCAATGATTGATGCCAAAGATTGATGCCAAAGATTGATGCCAATGATTGATGCCAAAGAATTGCTACCAAGGAATTGCTACCAAGGAATTGATGTTGAAGGATTGAATGCAGCACTGTTTCAACAAGATGACCGATAAATTGCAAGAGTGCGAGAAAGAAAAAGACGACGACGATGAAGATGTAGAAGTGGAAGGTCCGTTGATGTACGGCTTAAGTGGAGAATCGGCTGTGGCGGTGCGCAAAAAGATTCGAGTGGCTCACTCACCACTCATGACGACCTTGCCTCACTCAGTCCACTCGAACAAGATCACCAGTCAAACGCGCGCCATGAAGATTTAGCCTCTGACTTGAGTATAAAGAAAGACAAACGAACACATACCAAAGATACATCCTCAGATACGTCCTCAGATACATCCTCAGATACGTCCTCAGATACATCCTCAGACACATCCTCAGATACGTCCTCAGATACATCCTCAGACACATCCTCAGCCAACACGGCCATGCCGTCGGCACAGTCGCACAGCCGCTCACACAGCCTGCTGCTGCTGCAGAAGCTCCTCAACCTCCGCGATGGCTCGAGTCCTCTGACTCTCGTACTCGACAACCTCGAGCAGAGCGCAACCCCTGTCATCCGAGAGTTCGTCACAAGAGCCAAGGTCAGTCATCCCGGAACACGTCGTGACCGTGTCTCCTCGTTCTATCTAACAAAGTACAGATCGGCAAGAGCAAGGTCATCTTCCTGTCCTTTGCGACCCTCAAGAAACCCCGTGACATAGACGTCTTCGTCAGGGGCCGCGGCAAGACCCTCACAGCTCTGCGGACGGAGATTCTCTCCCACTACCCCAAACCAGACGAGCAGGCCGACAAAGCGAAGCGCAAGCCCTCCCAACGTGAGTCTTTCTCCTTTCCTCTCCGCGGAAACCCGCTGACGAGCCAAACCCCAGGCACCCTCGTGCTGCTCGACTCGCTCAACGACCTGGCGACCGCCCACCCGCACGACCTCCCCGGCTTCTCTCTCCTCCTTCTTCTCCCCGGCAACTTGCCCGTCTACACACCGACGTGCCCCTCCTCCTCTTCCCCGCCGCCGTGTCCGAGTACGAGCCCCACCCGCTGACGACCCTCTCCCACCTCGCCACGCCCCTGCTGCGCTTGTCGCCCCTGTCGCAGGAGACGGCGCGCCAACGAGCCCGCGACCGCGCTTTGCAGAGCCCGAGTTCGGCCTCGCCGGCGCACCGCGAGGGCGTGCTCTTCGGCCTGCAGAGCGAGGCCCGCATATTCGGCCGCCGGCGCAACAGCAGCAGACGCGGGCACCACGACAACAGCAGCGGACGCCCGCGCCGCCGTCGTGGACATGGAACTCCGCCGACGCAGCGGCCGCGCCGTGCGTGAGCGCTTCGTGCTCTTCGCGGCGCGCGACGGCGGCGCGGCGTCGAGAGTCGGCTTGCTGGCGGACCATGCTGCGTTCGCGCCGCCTGCCCCGGCCGGAGGAGGAGGAGGAGGAGGAGGGGCAGAGGGCGGCGCGGGGCAGGACGAGGGCGAGCCGGCGAGCACGTTTAGTCTCGGGTTGACGGAGAAGCAGAGGCGGGACCGCGACGGCATTGTGCTGCCGTATTTCGACGCGCAGACGGATATCGGGGCGGGCGAGGGCGGGCGGATCTTGTACGAGATGGGGCGGGAGGATGATTTCGATGATGAAGAGGATGAGATATAGGCGTCATGGTACGATTGGCTGCACTGGGGTGCACGAGGAGAAAGGATGATGAATGAAGAATGATGGTCAGTACTTTATGACCAGTGCTCAGTGATTATGGCCAGTACTTTATGGTCAGTACGCGGTGATTATGGCCAGTACTTAGTGACTATCATGACCAAATGGAAACCCGATCAGCAATCTTCTATGCCGGTATGCATGCCCAGGCATACATAGTGCCTGCGAACCTATCCTACACAGTTTGGCTCCCCGCGCAGCCCTCACTTTCTCCTCTTGCCTGCCCTGTCGGCCCCCGTGACCTCTCGGCGCGGCCCTCCACCTTGTGCGTCGCAGCGCCGACGACGGGCTTCGGCGCCCGACGACAGGCTCGGCCTCGCTGTCCGAGCAAGGGCCTTGGCCCTTGGCGGCGGGTCGGCCTCGTCCTCGTTCCTCCGCCGCCGCCCTGGCCCAAAACTCGTTGACCGCGCGAAGTAGTCGGGTCGTGTAGGCCCCAGCCGCTGGTAAGAATGTAGACGAAGAAAGAATGACCGTCGTCGCCGGAAGGTTGGCGAAGGCCGTGCCAGGATTGGGCATCCTTGATTGGTAAAAGGCCAAAAGAAGGTCGTCGGATGAAGGGTGGTTGAGGGAACTTTGTTACATCCATGGGCCTTTGGCCGGGGCCATGTGGGGCGACACTCCTTGAGGGCCGGTAGTTGATGTAGAGGCGGAGGGCCACCATCCATGAGGAAACCCGTAGGCCGTAGACCGGAGCCGACGAGGGTGGCCGATGATGTAACGAGTACCACCGACTTTGTGCCTCGTCGTAGACGAGCGAGTAGACGGCATAGGCGATGAGCAGGGGGCACGCCGGCCATGTACATGTACTTGAAGGCAATCTCGTCGTACTCCTTGGTCTTCTCCTCCGTGTCGCTAAGCTTGTGCTTGTCCTCAAAGGCGATGCGGTAGGGGAAGAGGGCGCCGGCGTCGGCCGTCGTGACGCGCACGTTGACGACGGTGGTGATCTTCCAGAGCTCGATGAGGATGCCCATGGCCTGGGAGCCGAGGATGACCCAGCTCGTGTTCTCCGAGTTGTCGATGAG